TAAGTGATGAGTAAATTCGTGAAGGTGAGAGGGTAAGCAAATCAAAGAAAATGAATTTTCGTCAAAGTTTAACATGTTGGGATAAAATACGGCCCGAGCTAAAATATCCGGTAATTATGGACTAGTGTCATACAAGGTACCACATGACCATGATAGTGAGGTGTATAAGATATGTTAAAAGTGAGTAGTATTTTAAGTAATTTGAGATAATTCTTAATTATGTGATTAATCGGATAATTATTAATTTTAGTGGAAGATTAACTATTAATTAAGATGATTGGTGTTTAATTATTGGATAAGGATATCATCCTTAACGTGGCAACAAGCCACCCAAATATATATATGACTCTTAAGTCATTATTGAGTAGGTGGCAAGATTAAAGGTAAAGGAATGTGGTTAAGCCACCATTCCATATTTAAAACATCTCCAACTTAAGAATCTGAAAGCAACATAATTCATTATCTTGAGAATCATGAAAGCAACGTATTAGTCATTAGCTTAAGAATCATGAAAGCAACGTATTAGTTTTAATCTCCATGAGCAACGTTGGATGCTAAGCTTGCTAACGGATTTTTTCCTACTTCAATCCGCCGTTACGTGTTTTCGCAAAAGACCTATATTAGAGGAAATGTCAAGAGAATCGATCCAGGTATGTTAAAGTTATCCCTTCTTTCTTTTTGGCATGATCCAAATGATACAAATGAAACGAGCAAAATACGCAACTTTCATAAATGACTCTATTCATAGAAGTACTAGGGGTGTCTATATTCTTTATTCCCCATGTGAATTATTATTATATCTTCTGTTCATGGGTCTCAGAAAAATACATATTTGATAAAGTTTATCTGAAAGGCATATTCATTTTATGTTATTCCGAGAAATCTTAAGTAACGTGTTTCTTATGCATTTCATGCATTTATACATGTATATTGACCCATGACCAGATGGCGTTATATAAGCGTATATTATATGTATATGGGATATGGAAAAAGGTTATGATATTATATACGCACCACCACCTGATCAGCTGGTATATGTTGATGTTTTGCCCACAGTGGCCGAAATGATATGTTGGGATGCCCTCAGAGGCTTGATGATGTTATGAACACATATACCTATGCACGATATGACATTTATACGCATATGCATGACATTATAAAAATGAAATGATTCACAAAGCTATGCAGACGTACATGTCGAGTCTTTTACTCAATGTTTCTCTCATGTCTATTATTTACTGATTTTTATTCCTTACATACTCGGTACATTATTTGTACTGACGTCCCTTTTGCCCGGGGACGCCGCATTTCATGCCCGCAGGTCTCGATAGACAGGTCGAGAATCCTCCAAGTAGGTAATCAGCTCAGCGGAAGATATTGGTGCACTCCATTTGCTCCGGAGTTGCTTGTTTGGTCAGTATGATTTAGATGTGTATTGTTTGGTATGGCGGGACTCTGTCCCGACCTTTATGACAATTATGTATTCTTAGAGGCTTGTAGACAGATGTCATGTACGTAAACGATTGTATGGCCTTGTCGGCCTATGTTCAGTGTACGAGTTGTTATTTTGGTCTTAGAGGCTCATATGTCTTATGTATAAGTTCGTATTACATGTTGTATTCTACCTATCTCACGGCAGCCTCTCCGGCTCAGTTATCTATGATAGTATGATACGAAAAGATACGTTATGTTGGTACTCTGTTGAGTAAGGTACCGGGTGCCCATCGCGGCCTATCGGTTTGGGTCGTGACAGCCAAACTGTTTACCTTAAAAACGGATTGAGTTAAATTTGTACGTAGTTCTAAGGGTATGTGGTATAACTTGACACAAATCGTAAGAATGAATAGAAATATCCAGCATTGACTGTAGAGAATGAAAAATAAGTAAGGTTGGGAAGAAAATAATTTATAGATTAAGCAAGATGAATCAATTTATGAAGTTAAAAAAGGATAACTCTTCAATAGGAGTGTTTGATATCTTAGTTACAATGTATGCAAAAACTTGGTTCTTACAGAAATAATAATCATCCCCTTTATAATGGAGGAATCCTACTTTAGATATAATTAAAAATACATAGTGGGAGACCCATGATAAATAAGCTTTTCCATAAACCATGTCAGGATTCTCTCCTCTAGTGGGATTGCAACGGCTCTTGTCTATGAGCTCGATATTGACTCGAGCTCTCGATCTTGACTCGAGCTCGATTCTGACTCGGATCCTTGTATTGATTCGGGATCAGTGTTGGTCGGTCTCTGCCTCATAAGCTCGATAACTTCACTTTGCCTCGTAGTTCGATTTGGATTCGAGGTCGATAATGAAATCGAGGTCGACATTGATCGGTCCCTCGGGCTCGAAACTTGGTGGCCTGACTTCGGACCTCGACCTGATACTATGAAGACGCTTCTCCAATCCAAAGCATTACCATTTCGACCGGTTCGTGTGAATGACTAACCGATTTTTACCGTATACATAATAAAAGTTATACAGAAAAACCAGAAACACCGTTGCGCATTCAGAAACCAAACTGTTTCCAAAGTCCAAACTCTCTTCGATTTGTTTGCCTTGGGAGACTATTATATGCAAAATTTTGGTGATTAATATTGAAATCGGAGAAGCCATGTTCATTGTGCTCTGAAGTTGTTCCTATTTGATATAGGTAGTAATTTCATTTTCCAGTTACTTCTCGAGACTTTGATACTTCCGCAAAGGAAGTCAATCTTCTTTTCCCATGTAGGATATACATACCTAACTGTAAATCTCAAATTCTTGAAAATTTCGGGATAAATTAGAATGGGATTGAACGCGATTTTCCAACACATTTTCACGCTACACTTCTGTAGTAATCGTGCAGGATCTGAGGCAGGTGCATCTGGTATTCATCCAGGCGCGCACCCACGTTACCCCGAGACTTAGTGGTGAGCTTCTCTCTGAGGCCGTTTGCAGCACTCGCAGTCTCTCTTTTGCATTTACTTTCTTCTACTCTATTTCAGACAATAGCTTAGTGTTTTGTATATTCTACTAGTTGTTCACACACATTTGTGACATCAAGTCTTGGAAACATACTAGTAGACTTTATGGCTTTTGAGCATTTATTTCACTGCGTTTGCTCTTTTATTAGTTTCGCTTTACTTTATTAAATTTTTCACTTCTCTCTTATTTAATAAATAAAAACCAACTACTTTGAAATTATTAAAAGGAATAAATACACGGCTAATTCACCGTTGTGGTTTGCCTAGCGGCGACGTTGGACGCCATCACGGCCTATAAGGGAAATTGAGTCGTGACATATTAATATAGAACTACATCTTATAGAACTATACACTTTGTTTTTAAATGTGTTATAGTAAGTTTTAATCGAATATAATTGAATTTCCAATTGATCCACTAATGAAGTATCCGAGCAAAGTACTAATAAGATGATCGAGAATAAAACATTCAAGATTATGTGTATGTATGTATGTATGTATGTATGTATATATATATGTGTGTGTGTGTGTGTGTGTGTGTGTGTGTGTTATATGTGTGTATTGCTAAATATATATGTAGATATTGTAAATAACAAATAATCTAACAATAATACCGACCGAAAATCGGTCGGTAAATTATATATACATAATTTTTGTTATATTAAAAATCTAATTGCCCCTAGGCGGGAAAAAGTAATTTTAAATTTTCGACCGATTTCGGTCGGTATATTTGAATTTTTTTAATTAAAACTTATTTTGGCAGATAATATGCAAGTGTGATCAGGTCTTAGTCAAAGATTGATTAGTTTCTGACCGACATCGTTCAGAATTTTTATGTGTCAGACGTAGCTGTGTTTCTTTGTTGTGGGACCACTATTTCCGACCGATGGTGGTCGGTAACTTTGTGAGAAATATTTTTTTGACTTTTGCGACTAATTTACCTATTTTCCGACCGATTTGGATCTGTATTCTGTGGACGGATTTTGCCAGTTTTCTGGCGAGACTTTATTCAAACAAGACATGCATGTTGACTCAAATGGAGTTAACCTTACATGTCGATGAATATATACATCAAGGAGAACACTACACGGTGTCCATTAAAACTTAATGCATATTGTAAGTGTTAAACTATTTGGTTAGTGAGCCAGTGACAGGTGAAACATAACGAGGCTAAAGTATTTGTTGACACTTCAAAATCAATTGCTAAATTACAGAAGAAGTAAATCCAAATTGAACACGCGCGAACAGAAAACACTTGGCAACCAACACGCATGCAGAGACGATGAAGGTTTGCCTCTGAATATTTGTGTCTTAAATATACATGTGCAAAATGACACTATAATTTACTTCATCCTGCTATGGCCAAAGAAAAAGTCATCCGGCAGATGCAATGTACTAATAGCATTTGCAGACAAATATATTAGGATTCCAACATATATTTGTATGTGTGTGTATTAAAAACGAGTAAGCTGTCAATAAAATAAGCTTCTGGGGTGTATGTATAGAGCTAAATAATTTCAATATGACATGATACTTTTATTAGATGCAAATAAGAAAGTATCAATCTTTTCTAAAGAGACCCAAAAGAAAAGTAGCATATAAAATGAAGGGAGTATTAATTTTGATTCCTGAAAGTTGTGAAAGCTAAGTACTAGTAAAAGTTATACAGAAAAACCAGAAACAACGTTGCGCATTCAGAAACCAAACTGTTTCCAAAGTCCAAACTCTCTTCGATTTGTTTGCCTTGGGAGACTATTATATGCAAAATTTTGGTGATTAATATTGAAATCGGAGAAGCCATGTTCATGTGCTCTGAAGTTCTCCTATTTGATATAGGTAGTAATTTCATTTTCTAGTTACTTCTTGAGACTTTGATACTTCCGCAAAGGAAGTCAAATCTTCTTTTCCCATGTAGGATATACATACCTAACTATAAATCTCAAATTCTTGAAAATTTCGTGAACGCGATTTTCCAACACATTTTCACGAAAAGAATGGAATACGAGGAGCTCAGAGCAAGGCACTCACTCATTCTTTGGGGGTTAAAAGAGGAGTTTTATTTATATTTCACATAACTTACATAGCACATGATAAAGAACTACAAGAAGCCAAAAACGCTTACAACCTTAGCTTAGAAGGAAGACCCACATCCACATTTATTTGTAGTAGTTATATCAATACTACTCTTAGAGCCTTTATTTATTTACTCACAAAGCTCTCAGTTCTCACAGCTGCATCATTACTAGCTAGTGCCTCGTGCAAATCTACAACTTAGAAAACGAAGTCCAAAATTGAAGACAGATACTGTTGTCCCTTTCCTTCTTCACCCCTCTCCCTCTGCCGCTGGCCGTGCTGTTCTGGTCCTGCCACAAAGTAAGACTGATCTTGCCTCTGCAAGATTTCTTCTACCTCCTTTCCTGGCATGTTGAATGAAAGCTCCTTTGCTTCTCTGTCCACATTTCTCCATATGTTTTGTTGTCCTAAAATTTCAAACCAGCCAAAGAATTTTAATAAGACACTCTCATAACATGTTAAAATATTTTAAAATTTTCACAATGTCAATACACAAATACTGTAAAACAGAGGAAACTGATATACCTGCAAGGAAGTTCTTTCTGCTGTTATGAGCATTGACGCCGAAACCAACTATCCTGAGATTTGAACCTCCAGTGGCTATAAAGGTAATAGGATGACCGGCAGGGACAACCAAAACATCACCAACTGATAGAGTTCCACGGACTTTCTGGTAATGGACATCTCCACCTTCTTGTTCTCGTTCTTGTTCTCTTCTTCCTCCACGGGACCCTTGCCTCTGGCTTTGGCTACCAAGATGAGGACATGCCATTTCAAAACGCCCGTTTCCTTCTACAACCATTGCCAACCTTGTTGACCTTGTGTTGTAGTATGGTAGTACCATTCCACCCTGCAATTATGTTTCAAATTATATCTTAAAAAACACACTAAGAATACAAATGTTTTAGAGTTGACACTTGACAGTGTAAATTTTGTATGTTATCGGGTAATTGCAGGTAACTAAACTATAACAGATGAAATAGTAAACCTGGAGAATAAGTCTAAATAACGTTCTAGAGCAGACTAAAAAATATTGAAAAGTAATTAAAGATTACATCTTTTTTGATAAGTTAACTTGTGAAAAGCCTTACTTGGTTGATGTTCATGAAAGCAACAGCAGCATCCAAATCTCTCAACTGTTCAAATCTATCTGGAGATGCTTCAAAGAACTGTCCAAATCTGCTACTGAATAATGGGCGTTCTTTCAACAGATTAAAAGGACCTGTTGTCTGACCCTTAGTTTGTTGCTTAGTGGAGCGCGAAGCGTGTTCACTTATTGCTCTAATTTGCTCTTCAGATGCTTTGATTATTATCCCCTGTTTTTGTTGCCCAAATAGCCTCTCTAATCTGTCCCTTGGGGTCTAATGAATAATAATAAACAAAATACACAGTGAGAATTGCAACTAACATAAAAATGATCCAGTGAAATATTAATTAGTTGGATATCAATTACGCGGGCTTACATTGAAAGCAGTCTCCAGGATATCGCTGCTGAAAGCTCTGTAGAAGGATTCTGGATTCTGACCTCCAGCACTGAAGTATTCCTGAACCAAGATAAAGTACATCAGTATTCACAAATTGTAGGTACAATATTTTGTATCTAATATCAGTTGACCAATTCTAAAGGTGAAACTAGAAATATTGAACAATTATAAAATATCTCCGTCCCAACAATATTTAGAGGTTACTTTAAAACTCCTCTCAAAGTGAAAATTTTGGAGGCTGTTATCTTGAATACTTCTACACCATGTCCTGATTTGACTAATTCTAACTAGTGAAGATAGAAATACTCATAAGCAATAGCCCCAAAATTTAAACTATTGTTGAGAATAATTTAGTTTTGTCACGCAATATATAATACTACTATGATTACCTGGAATTGGCCAGGGGTATTGACAGCCTGGGCTAGCACGTAAACAAAGAACCTTTCATTGTTATCCCTGTTGAGCATGTACACTGTTGAACCAGCATTCACTCTGATTACATCTCCATGCTCCAAGTTGAAGGAGTTCTTCTCATCCTGTTCTGCTATACTTATAGTTCCTCTGCCTGAAAAGAAAGTTAACATTACTGTAATTACCATTTCACTTGGTTTTAATTAAATACCATTTCACTTGGTTTTAATTATTACCCAAAGAACATAAGCAAAATAGAAAAAATTAATTACCTCTAACCACAACAAATATGGCTTCAGCATCACAGTGATGAGGAAGCATGAAAGACAGAGGCTCAAATTCAACTACTGCAACTCGGTAGTTTTCTATTCCTCGGAGAAGTTCAGATCTTTCGGTGAATTTCTCAAGAACTCGAAAATCACCATGTGTGGCTCTGAATCGAGACCTAAACCTCTGAGACTCAAACAAGTAGGGATTGTTCTCTTCTTCTCTTTCTCTTTGTGGGTTCTCCCTTTCTTCTCCCGTCTCCTGGCCACGTCGTTGTTGTTCTTGCTCTCTCCTGAACTCTTCCTCGCAACGTTGTTGGCACTGTCTCCGTTGTTGGCGTCCCTGTTCCTGTTGCTGACATCTCTGCTGACACTCTCTGAATCTCCTTTGGGGGTCACGGCCTTGATTATCTTCTTGGCTCTCCTCGCCGCCTCGTCGTTGTTCTTGTTCTCTCCTGTATTCTTGCTCACAACTTTGTTGGCACTGTCTCTGCTGTTGGCCCTGTTCTTGTCTTTGGCATCTCTGTTGGCACTCCCTGAATCTCCTCTCGGGCTCACGTTGGCCTCGTCCTTGATTTTCTTCTAGGATCTCCTCTGAGCCACCACGCTGTTGTTCTTGTTCTCTCCTGTATTCTTGCTCACAACGTTGTTGGCACTGTCTCTGTTGTTGGCCCTGTTCTTGTCTTTGGCACCTCTGTTGGCATTCTCTGAATCTCCTCTCGGGCTCACGTTGGCCTCGCCCTTGATTTTCTTCTAGGATCTCCTCCGAGCCACCATGTTGTTGTTCTTGCTCTCTCCTGTATTCTTGCTCACAACGTTGTTGGCACTGTCTCTGCTGTTGGCCCTGTTCTTGTCGTTGACATCTCTGTTGGCACTCTCTGAATCTCCTCTCAGGTTCACGCTGCGTACGACCTACTAGGAAAGAAATAGAATAAAACAGAATTTAAGAAATGCTATAAAGCATAGATGTACGGCCGAATTTCATATATGTATACATATATATATATACACACACTCCTTTGTCCCAAATTTATGGGATACTTCTTAATTTTAGATTCAAACTTCAAACTTCTTTATTTTGACCTATAGCCCAAATTTAATTTTAACCTATGTCCCAAATTTATGTGATACTTTGGGATTTTCAAGATCCAAATTTCTTAATTTTGACACTGTACCGATGAAATATACATGGTTATTGCATATATTACCAATTACGGGTATTAAATACTTTCTCTGTTTCAATTTATGTGAACTTATTTGACTGAGTACGAAGTTAAAAAAAAAAAAAATTAAAATTTGTGATTCTTAACAATTTAAAAAGAATCATGGTATTTGTGTGGTTAAAAAAATTTCTCATTAAGGCTAGAATTATAAGTTTTAAATAAAGTTGTTTTCAAATTTAAAAAAGAATCATTATTTTTTAAACAGACAAAAAAATAGGTTCACCGAGGCAGTACTGTATATTACAAATTAAATGACACCTCTGTAATGAACCACTTTATATGACTTTGGAGAACGAAAACCAAATTAATTAACTATTTTCCCTCCATGCCACTTTATATGGCATGGTCCGATGTACGATATTCAAAATAACTATATTTTCAGTTGAGTTTGAAAATAAAATTTTAAATCTTATATTTAAAATTATGTAAACAATAGTAAAAGTCAAAATACTTTTAAATAATATATGCAACGTGATAAATAAACCCTTTTTCTATTCTGTCAGCGTAAAATAAAATAGATGAGTAACTACAAACACCATACCTTCTCGTCCTTGATTATCTTCTCCACTCTGGTGGCCACGATGTTGTTGTTCTTGTTCTCTCCGATACTCCTGCTCACAACGTTGTTGGCACTGTCTCTGCTGTCCATGTTCTTGTCTCTGACAACGTTGCTGGCACTCTCTGTAAATACTTTCAGGGTCACGGTGATGAGTCAGTATGTCCTCAATCACTTCGTCAGATTTCTCTCTCTGTTGACGTTCATATCGTAAAACACAGCTTCTCTGACATTGGAGTTGCTGTTCAGGGCTCTCTTGTCTTTCACTCTGAACCTGGCATTGCCGTAAGCAACTCTCGAGCTCGCGCCTCGGGTCTTGGCCACGAGGGTTTTCATCATCACATTGAGAAGCAAGGAAAAGAGAAAGGATCAAGAAGAAGAGAAACAAAAGCTTCGGTTTAGCAAAAATCGCCATAGTTAATGAACTGTGATGGAGAAGCGTTGATGGGGATGAAGAGAAGTTGATTTTGTTCGTGGGGATTTATAGTGGAGGAAGATGAGTTTGAAACATTGCATGCATGCATGCAAATTGACAAGTGTTGATAATGAAGAGAACGAAGAGTAACGTGGAGAAGAAAATGAAGTGATCAAGTGGAAGTGTGATAAGGCTAGCTACGTGCATGTCACGTGAGTACGGTGTACGGACAATTTGTAAAGGACATGAACATAGCTGGCACTGGAAATATGCGGCGAGTTGATAAGTATTGATGCTTTTGCTGATCGCTATCCCCTTTCTTTTTTCCATTACACCACATTCAGCCAAGATATTATTGCACTATATGCATTTAAAAATGGGTGGGTGAGTGCGGAGAATTGTAGTAGTAAGTTTTCATTTTTCTCTTACTACAATACAAATTCTAGTATTAACTCACTATTCTTTGAGCATAATTTAGCAGTGGAAAATTCTAGCAATAGTGTGGGGAGTTCCGCAGAATTCAATAATTTATGATTGAACAAATATGTGTAAAACTCTTGTACAAATAAAGTTAAATTTAAATTTATATATATAGTTACTTTTTTTTTTAATTCAACACTCATGGAGTTTAAATTTTCGTTAATGCTGATATTGGAGTGTTATTTCCCTTAAGCCGTTTGGTCGGAGAGCTAGTGACAGGGGAAACATAATGAGGCAGGTATTTGTCTTCATAAATCATAGTAGCAAAATAACAAACAAACTAGTATAGCAAAATAACAGAATTAAGAAGATGTCACTGCTAGATCCAACGTGAACACGTGAAGTAAATTAACACTTGGCAACAACCACGCATGCAGAAAGGACGAAGGTTTGCCTCTGCTTTGTGTCTTATATATGCGCAAATGCAAAAAATGACGCTATTTGCTACATCCCACTGTGACAGAAGTAGAAGACATTCGGGCCTGGGGCAGATGCACTGTAACAATAGCACGTCCAGACAATTTTTATAGATGCGTGTGTATTGTTAACTTTGTAGTTGAAACGATTTTAAAAGAGAATTAAAAAGGGTTATATTTACGCTAGGTTAATTTCACCTATGATTATTGAACTATCTTTTAATTTTACTAAAATTATTTAATTATTTTTTATTACTTAAAAGTATTTAAACTTTATTATTATCACTTAAAAGTTATTTTGTCTCAAATCCCTATTATAAATATGATATTGCATTAAATTTTATAATAAAAATCCAAAAATAAATACCACAAAAACTAATATGGATCATACCTATTTTAGATTCATTTATCCTTTAATGTGATTTGACCCATAATCTAAATGAGTTTCGATAAAAAAATAATATTAAGTTTCACATTAGTTTAAAATGATTATCCTATACTACAAAGTCTTGCCTTTTCTATTACATAATGCACATTCATAATTATTCTATACTAAAATAATTGATGCTAGAAAATTCTTATTTTGTTTGTATGCCCCATCCGAGTCATTATATAATTCTACTGAAGCTATTTTAAAATGACTCGGATAGGGCATACAAGCAAAATAAGAATTTTTTAGTATAGATTATTTTAGTATAGAATAATTATGAATGACTCGGATGGGGCATACAAACAAAATAAGAATTTTCTAGCACATTAGTTTTGATACAATAGTATTTTAGAATCAACAGAGTTATAAAATGACTCGGATGGGGCATACAAACAAAATAAGAATTTTCTAGCACATTAGTTTGGATACAATAGTATTTTAGTTTCAGCAGAGTTATAAAATGACTCGGATAGGGCATACAAACAAAATAAGAATTTTCTAACATAGATTATTTTAGTATAGAATAATTATAAATGTGCATTATGTAACAGAAAAGGTAAAACTTTATAGTATAGGATAATCATTTTAAACTAATGTGGAACTTAATTTTTTTTTTTAATCGAAACTCATTTGGATTATGGGTCAAATCACATTAAAGGATAAATGGATCTAAAATGGGTATGACCCATATTAGCTTATCTGGCATTTATTTTTGGATTTTTATCATAAAATTTAATGCCATATCATATTTATGGTAGGGGTTTGAGGCAAAATAACTTTTAAGTGACAATGATAACGTTTAGTTACTTTTAAGTGACAAAAAATAGTTAAATGACTTTAGTGAAATTGAAAGATAATTCAATGACCGTCAGTGAAATTAACCCTATTTACGCTTTTACTTTCGAAAATAGTTTATATTTAAATTTTATTATATTGTTCGATCAGCTACAATTGATTTTTTTATAATTGCACCTTTATATAATAGTTATTTAATACAAAAGTCAAAATTTTCTCGGACCCAATAACAGCTTTTTATTAAAATATATGCTTGTATATTTTTATTTCATTGGCCAAAAGTTTTCATCGTGCATATATTTTTTTATTAAGCAAAGTTTCAATAGATTCATTAATAATATATTATTTTTTTGCTAATTAGAAACCTTTTTAATCACCAAGTAAATATTTACAAAATCATAATTGAATCAAACACATCTAGCTATCTAAACTATGTACCAGCCGCCGGAAAACTCCATGACTTAATTCCAAACATGAATATATTAGCTTTCCTTAATTCGCATATCTTTGAAATTTAAATTTAAATAATTTCTTATCTTATATAACACTACTATAAATTCGGTCAAAACCGACCGCGGCCAATCGATTGACTTCGATCGGTCAAAAAACCTACCGAAGTCGGTCGGTATTTTTAAATTTTTTAATTTTTAATTTTATTTACGAAACCGACCGACTTCGGTCGGTTGTTTTTTACGCAAAAATGCGAAAAACTATTTTCGTATCCCGCGAAATTTATTTTTTAAGAAACCGACCGAAATCGGTCGGTTTTTTATATAAAATAAATTAAAATTAATATTCAAAAAATTGACCGAAATTGGTCGGTTATTTCACTGAGTCATTTTAAAAAACCGACCGACTTCGGTCGGTAATTTTATATTTTTAATAAAACCGACTGAAATCGATCAGTTATTTTCGTGCGAAAATACAATTAAAGAGTACAAATAAATTAAAAGAAAGTCATAAACCAAAATGTACCAATAGTCTAGTGGTAGAATAGTATTCTGTCATAGTACAGATCCTGGTTCGAGTCCCAGACGGTATATTTTTTAATTACATAATTGAAAATACCAACCGAATTCAATCGGAAAATACCGAACGACTTCGATTAGTTTTTTTGATAGAATTTTCTTTTTGGATCGTTTGTGAAAATTAATTTACCGACCAAAATCGGTAGAAAATTACGACAAACTTCGGTCGCTTTTTTTTACCGACCAACTTAATTTCGACGGATTAAAGTCGGTCGGAAATTAGTCATTTTTTTCAGTTTTCTGACCGATTTTCGGTCGGTATTTCTGGACGATTTTAGGCAGTTTTCTAGTAGTGTAAGTAACATTAAAAAAAGAAAAAAAAATAGTTTTACATAATTTTCATTTATAACAATCAAATGATATAATTTAATATAAAGGCCAAATTATATTAAAACAAACGATATTTTTATATAAAGGTTTGATTTTATATAGGGGTGAACATAGTTTTGGCAAATCCGAAATTCAAATCGAAATCCAATTTTTTTGAATTTTTTGTTTGAATTTTCGAATTGCGGATTGAATTTTGAATTTATTTTTTAAAATTTTTAGATTTCGATTTTGGATATTGGATTTGGTACTTCGGATTTTTGGATATCCGAAAATCTGAAATTTTTATACTTGTTATAAATAGTATTTTATTTATGGTGAATGTTTATATTTTAGAGAGATTTTAGGGTTGTTACTTGATGGCTAAGTCACTTTTTCCCAATAAATAGAGGGGTTCTATTTTATTGTAATTGATCACATATCAATAAGAATTCTCTCTCTCTATTTTTCTCTGCAATACTCTTCTTCTTCTTTTATTATTTCATAACACGTTATCAGCACGGGACTCTAACCAATTGAGTAGAAGCTTTGTGATTGAGCATAATGATTGCCAATTATTCCATGAAGTTCCTTCATGATTAAATTCTGGATTTAAAGTAAGTATTTTACTTTATTTTTCTCTTTTGAATTCTTGAAATTCTATAATTTGATTTTAAATACAAACAAAGACAATAAATTTTGATTATAACTCTAATGGAGTTTGTAAGAAATTATAACCACCCGAAATGGTAAATTTCTATGCTGTCATGATCAAATTCATGTATGATTGTGGGCAAAGAAGTGAAAACCCGTCCCGTTTAATTTGCTTCATTCCCATTCCCTTAAGAGAATATGATAGCAGTATGTGATAAGTTTGAAAGAAGATAAAATTATTACCATAAAGATATCAATGGATGTGGATGTGACAATAGACAAAATTATAATTGTCATCATTGTGATAATGAGAATAATAAGGATTCTCAAAATAATCCTTCACTCTGTGAAAGTAATATTTGTCATCGATTTGACATGAGATTTTGTAAAGCACATATAGATGATTATGGTCTATTCATGATGTGAATGTGACAACATCTGATTTATGAATACATATTCATTCTTGAAAGAATATGAACGTGCTAGTGGTAGTGAATATACCACACTCACCTCTAGAAGAAGGTTTGAGATGAAATAAGAAAATAATATCATTATTATGATATGAATGGTCATTGGTCACGTACCTATTATACGCCAAAATATTTTGGCAATATGATTATTAAAAGACAACAGTAATGCAAGAAACAGATCTTGCATATAAGTTTGACCATGACCATAATGGTATAACTTACTCCTTAAAAGCTTATTCACCATATAGATGTTGATGAATAAGTGGTAGTACAAAATTAATTGAGAGCTCTACAAGAGCCAATTATACTATTTTGTGTCGTAGTAAGTCTCAAAAAAACTTATTAACTTTCTAAAGTATTCGCGAAAGCGATTGGTTATATTGAGACTATAAATAATGAAGATTTAATATCTTTATATTACTACAAATGTAGTGGGGTAATTGTGATGACCCAAAAGGTCATTTTATATTT